GAAAAAAGTGCACCAACTCATTCATGTCAAGCTGAATAGCAATGCCTGTAGAATTATAGTAAAAGAAAGTCCAGAAAGAGGATCAAACCTGAGTTTTATTCTTGGTGTTAGGCAATGAATTTTGACCTGCAATTCAGATGGACAAGCAAGATAGTTTCAATTCTTTCAACTTATATAATTAAGCCAATGTTCCAACCATTAATTGTCATTTTTTTCACTACATTCAGTCAATCACAAACATATATGTGAGATGCAACCAGATAGGATTCTTGTTGTCTTTTAAAATGGTTTCAGATTATACATTTATCATCTAGAAAAAATTGTTGAAGCAATGACTAGTGATCCGAACAAAGGCCAGCACACTGAAAGGTGAAAACATAAAAGCTCCTACCAGACTAAAATCTTAACTTATATTGAACTATAATAAAATTTAAATTCTAAGTGAAATCTAAATTCTACGTTATACGTTAGACAAACTTACATTTAATTTAATCATGTTCGTTTATCACACAACAATGCATGAGAGAGTATGATACAATTATACCAATCATAAACCAGCCTTAAGACTATATAATTAAGCAACTAACGTTTTTGGTCACCAGTAATAGTTGATTATACAGTTTGAAATAGAATTTTATACCTCTGCATTCACATAAAGAGACAGTATACCCAAATTAAACTTATGTTAGGCAATTAATGAAGCAAGAAGACACCAATAACAAAGAATTAACAGCATAATATTAACTGCACAACTTACTTGTAGAACTGTCCCGTGATTGCACTTATTCAAAGGTAAAGAAACTGGAACAACAGCACTTGAACTCGTATAGCATGTCATATTCACTTTAGTCTCACCAAGAATGCCAGATCTAGCTGACCCCTAAGATCAAACATTCACATCCAATACCATTTATTAAAAAAAATCATTACATTTAGATAAATAGTTGATGTATAAGCAATCAGAACTCCCTCCAAACTTGAGGCCTATAGAGAGTCAATGAAACAGAATCCAATACAAACCAATAAGAACAATCACATTACCATGGAAACAACAAACTTGAAGAGACAGTCTTCCAATTCCTTAGAAGACTCCTCTTCCGAAACCCATATAGATTCTGACACCGTCTCCGTCCACTGACAAATCCCATTTTGCACAAGCGCTTTGCTCGACTTAGCAATGGTTTTCCCAGTTTCCACAGATATCACAGATACAAACAGCCTGTCCCATCCCTTTGGCACCTGCGTTACGTACAAAAATACACAAACAAGTAGCCCCGTTCACCATTCTTTTGCTTGAAAATAAACACTCAATAAAACAACATGCAATGCAATTAATATAAATACCTGGAGAGCTTTAAAGTGAGAGAACTTGAAATCTATTCTCTCCCCAGATTTAGTTGGTCGGGTTTTATGTAGCCTGAACATTTTTCTCTCCTTTTCTTCTTCTATCTGTTTGAGGAATAATTCATGAAAGTTTTAAAGGAGCATTAATGTCATCACGTACCCTTTACCATTAATTATCATTAAAACATAAACAGAGAAGTGAAGGAGAATAATATCAGATAGCAAGTCACTATAGTGAAGGTTGTTGTATTATTTTCACTTGGAAAAACTTGTTGGTTTATATCATCATTTCCAAACCGCGAACAGCCGTTTGTTATGTGGACAAGCTTTGGTTTGGCAGTTTGAAGCATGAGAAGTAAACATGAAGTCACGTAAAATCGACGACTGTCAACGTGGGGGAATTTCATTGGTTGAAACGTGAGAAGTAGAGGGCTCTGACTTCTTGACTTCTGGCAAGAGAACAAAACGATGTCGTATTCTATCGAGATATTTATGTTTGCATTGGGGATGTAAACGCATAAAATCCAACAATGGAGAAGGGAATTGTACAATTAATTAATATTTACTTCATTGACTCCATCGAACTCTTCTTGGGAAGAAAGAGATAGAGCTGGTTTTGTTGGTTTGCAAGAAGTCAAAAAGTAAATAAGAAAAGGATAACCCATTATGCCAAGAGCCAAGTTTACGGGTTATACATCCAAAGAGGAATTCGATGAAGTCAATGAAGCAAATATTATAAGTTAAATTTTCTCATACTATTCCACTTCCACTGGTACGACATCGTTTTTATCTTTTGGTTCTTGCTGGAGCCTAGAAGTCGAAGCCTTTTAACTTATCATGTTCGCATTGATGGTCTCATTCCTCTTGGGAAGCACAACTCGTGTTCTGTCATATTGTCCCTTTTCCAAAATTGGATCACTTTTAACTTATGTGAACTTAAGTTAGAGTTTTTAGACTATGAAATAAGTTGACTACAATTACTTTTAAAAAGATTTATCAAAACACGTTTTTAGGGCTAAATGCATAACTACTTAATTAAAGTTGAAAGTTAAAAGCTCTTTTCAAATTCGTTTTCTTTGAAAAATCATTAGGAATTGGCATTTGCAGAAAGAAAAAAAAAATACCATGGCAAGTGCAAATAGGAGTAAAAATTATGCTAAGTTGAGCAACATCTTCCATTATATAAATACATAAATGGTAATGTTATGTTACGTTAGCCTCTTCCTCCCTCACATTAGTGAGAGTGTGGGAACCCTTGAATCATGTTTCCTACGCTCTTCCTCTAACATTACTCGGCGTAAGTTAGCTAGCATGTCTCTAGTTTTAAATATTGGTTATTTATTATAATTTATTAAAGGGGCGTTTGAATCATATAATATTTTATTATAGGAGAATATTATATTAACGAAATAAAAGATCACTGGAAATATTTAAAAAATGTGTTTGGTTGGTTCGAATAAATTCGTGAATAATATGTTTAGTTGGGAGGATAAATGGGTGGGTATGTTATATAGATTGTTAGGGCCAAAAATCGTCATGGGCTCAAATAGGGAAACAAGACTGGTAGTGAGGAAGAAAGCAGGCCCAATCCTAGAGAGGCACAAGCTAGATTAGTCCCATTTGATACGAGATGCAGCCTGCCCAAACCATCTGGGCACGGGCTTCCCAGTTCCGGCTCACTTCCTGGGCCTATAGGCGAGTTCAGAGCCCACGACCCCCATTGATCACTTTCCTGTTCCTGATCAATCTCCTACTTGAAGTCACTTTCCTGTTCAGATCACCTTCCTATTTGGACGCTGGTAAGATAGCTCACCACCGCCCTAACTCTTCTAGGGTTTGTATAAGAGTCACGCTAGGACTCCTACTCCCACCAAGATTGGGAGACCAGACAGTCACTATATAAATAGAGGTCAGCCCTCTCACAAGGGAGATTACATTACACCTTCACACCCAAAGCTCCTACTTGAGAGCTTCACATCACTGCCGTAGTCACAGTCCCCGACTAGACTTTCGGTAACCTCTCTACTCCCTAGCCCTCACTATACTAGCCTCTTTCAGCCTTGCTGACTTGAGTGTTGGAGTGCCTACGGCAAACACCACCCTGGTGTTTCCCGTTCGCTTCACGCGTCGGTTTCTCTACGTGTACAGGTGCAGCGGATCTCTAGTGGCCTCAACCTCACGGGATTAGACCCCCTTTCTGTATAGGTAGATTTTTATGTCTACAGTTTGGCGCCCACCGTGGGGCCTCTAGCAATTATTCGGCTTAACAAACCTTGTTACATAGAGGAACTTTCCATGGCTGACAACTTCGACAACGTTAACCTCGGCCTCAAGGCCAAACTAGAGGCTCTGACCGCCCTTATGCAACAAAACTCGGACAAGGTAGCCACACTGGAAGCCGAGAACAATGCAATCTGGACCGAAAACGCATCCATCAGGGCAAAAAACCATTTTCTTAAAGAGAAGGTGAGTCAATTCTACGATTTAGAGTTTCTACCTGGCCAGGTACATCCCAATCAGTTCCGCACCCCTGTTCCATCCATGTAACCTCTCCACACACCAGAGTACCGACCTTAGTCTCCGGTAAAAGGCCGCGTCCGTTAAGCTCATCGGTGGTCGACGATTCTGTCTTGACACATGGAGATAAAGATACGCCAACAGAACACCATTCAGCTGACCCATCCCAGCCTCGAGATCAAGACGATCCAGTAACAAAAAACCCGAACCCGCAAGACCAGCCCATTCTTACCGTCCCACCTTACCTCCAGCCAACCAACCTAATGCAAAACCCATTCGGCTCAGCTCACCCTCATGGGTTGAACGACCAAATCAAACAAACCACAGCACTTGAGCCCATCCATCCTGACGAACCGAGTGACTACCAGACGACTCCCCTGACCATTCATGTAAGGCGAAACACCAAGACAGTTACCATGGGAATCATCTAATCGGAAGGAATGAACGAAGATCCGAGCTACCAGGGAGGGCACGAAGGAATCACCCATCAGACTACCCTACAAGAGATGACCCATTAGACTACCATGCGAGGGATAACCCAACGGAATGTGCCGAGGACGAATGCAATGATAGACCCAGTCAGACGGGATGACCTAGCAGTATCACCCTCTCATATGGAACAAGTACTGGCTAAGAGGCTAGCCGATGTGGAGGCAGTGATAAGACACATCCTAGGAATGTCGGTCCCAACCAAGAAGAGCAGGCCCCACTACTGCGCGGATTCACCCTTTGTGGATGAGATCACCCAAGCCGACATGCCCCAGAAGTTTACCATCCCCAACATGAAGCTGTACGATGGCACAACCAACCCAGACGATCACATAGCCTCATACAAATAACGGATGTTCACCGTCTCAATACCCCGACCGTTGAGGGAAGCCTGCATGTGCAAAAATTTCTGTTCGAGCTTATCCGACCCAGCACTCCAATGGTACACGAATCTCCCAGACGGATACATCAACTCATTCGCTCAGCTCACCAACACCTTTGTGGAATAGTTCGCTAGCAGCGAGAAACTCGAAAAGCTATCGACCGACCTATATAGAGTATATCAGAGAAGGGGAGAGCCACTGAGAGAGTATGTCAGCAAGTTCAACAAAGAAAAGATCTCCATCCCTTCTTGTAACCCTAAGACAACCATGGACGCCTTCAAGAAAGGTCTCCTCCCGGACGGAGAACTATACAAAGAACTTACGAAGCTGGGTTACACAACAATAGAAGATGCTTTGGCCCAGGCAGTAATCCAAATAAGATGGGAAGAAGATGAGATAAACCGAGCAACTCACTCCAGATATGACCCGAGGCAGAATGACAGGAAGCCAGAGCACAGACCGGTGGAACACCACTATCAACCCCCAGCACACAATATGAGTAGAGTCAGAAAACAGTATGATCGCCAGCCAACGAGAACCGATAACAGACAGTTTGGATCAAACCGGTACAAAATACCAGAGTACAACCTCAACGTCGAACCGGCCCAGGTCACCGCGATTATGAAAAGGATGGGATCCACCGTTAAGTGGCGGGGCAAGCTCAATCCCGAGGCAAGGAGAGACACAACCAAGTGGTGTGAGTTTTACGGTGACCATGGACACAACACAGCAGACTACATCGCCTTGCGGCTTGAGGTCGCTGCACTTCTAAAGAAGGGACACCTCCGAGATCTGTTAACAGATAAGAGGAAGAACACCATTAGCCAGAGAAGCTCAAAAGAACCATCACCACCTCCGCGGGAACCCACACCGAATGGGCTTTGTTCGCTCATCTCCGGAGGATCAGAGATTAGTAGGGTAAGTTACTCGTCAGCCAAGAGATATGCTAGAGCCAACAGCCACCATGAAGTGCAGTCCATCCATCCGGTCTCGCGACCACACACCCATCAGGTAATCCAGTTTGAAGATGACGAGCCGATCACTTTGGCCGCTCCTCACCAAGATGCTCTAGTCGTCTCACTGCAGATCACCGACATCCTAGTAAAGAGAGTATTCATAGATAGAGGGTCCTCAGCAAACATCATATTCCTTGAAACAATGAAGGCAATGGGTCTGGAAGAAACAAACATCAATAGGAGGCCGACACTGCTAGTTGGTTTCAATTCCGAGCAGAAGTACACCATCGGAGAAATCATCCTTCCTATCTACGATAGCGAAGTGAACAAACAGACCGTCTTTCTAGTGATCAACTGCCCTTCACCCTACAACGTCATCTTGGGTCGGCCTTGGATCCATGACATGCGAGCAGTCCCATCCACTTTCCACCAGACGACCAAGTTTCCTACCAAGTAGAGAATACGAGAGATCAAGGGTGACCCCAAAGCATCCATAGATTGCTACAAGAATGCCTTCAAGGGCAAAGGTAACACTTCATAGCAATTACAGTCCCATCCAACCCCTCCGACCGAGCCGGATCAACCATCTATGGAAAAGTTGGATGAAGTACAGTTACATCCGAACGACCCCGAGAGAAAGACACACATAGGTTCCCACCTCGAGCCTGAGACAAGAGAGAAGCTGATAGAATTCCTCAGACAAAACCAAGGCTGTTTCACCTAGTCACACGCCGACGTGACTGGAGTCAGTCCAGAAGCAATGGTACACCAACTCAAGGTAGATCCGGATCACCCACCAGTGAAGCAGAGGAGAAGGAAATTTGCACCAGAGCGTAACCGAATCGTCAATGAAGAGGTCGAGAAGCTACTAAGCAATGGTATGATCAAAGAGGTCCACTACCTCGAATGGTTGGCGAATGTCATGGTCATAAAGAAAAAGAACGGGAAGTGGAGAGTCTGCATCAATTTCACAGACTTAAACAAAGTCTGCCCCAAGGACTCCTTCTCGCTCCCACATATCGACATAATGGTTGATACGACAGCAGGCCACGAGCTCCTTAGTTTCATGGACGCCTTCTCAGGGTACAACCAGATCTTGATGCACCCAGACGATCAAGAGAAGACAACCTTCATCACGGAAAGGGGAACCTATTGCTATAAGGTGATGCCATTCGGTCTCAAGAAAGCCGGGGCTACCTACCAGTGGCTAGTCAACAGGATGTTTGCCGAGCACCTCGGAGATACCATGGAGGTTTACATCGACGACATGCTCGTCAAGTCAAAGATGGCCGAACAGCACCTTGACCACCTCAGCTAGGCATTCACCATCCTCAGGAAGTATAACATGAAGTTAAATCCAGCCAAATGCTCATTCGGCGTTTCATCAGGAAAGTTCTTAGACTACATGGTGACTAACGAGGGATAGAAGCCAACCCCGATCAGATCAGAGCGATCCTTAATATACCATCTCCGACTTGCATAAAAGACGTCCAACATCTGGCGGGACGAGTTGCCGCCTTGAGCCGATTCATATCCAGATCCATCGATAAGTGCCATCTCTTCTTCCATGCCCTCAAGAAGTCCAAGAAGTTCGAGTAGACCCCCTCCTGCGAAGAAGCCCTACAACAACTAAAAAGGTACCTGACCTCTCCTCCGCTCCTTTCTAAGCCTGTGGATGAGGAGAAGCTTTATTGTTTCTTGGCGGTATCAGAGATAGTGATTTCAGTAGTACTGGTTCAGGAAGAAGAGACGAAGCAGATACCGGTCTACTATGTAAGTAAGTCGCTCCTTGATGCAGAAATGCGGTATAGTCAGTTGGAGAAACTGGCCCTCGCCCTCATCCATGCATCCAGGAAGCTTAGGCCGTACTTTCAGTGCCATTCCATAGTGGTACTCACCTCTTTCCCCCTCAAGAAGATACTGTTAGGAAATGATCCGGTTGCGCAGCGGAAAACAAAAATTTTACAACTACGGATCGTTCCTTAGAACCCAAAATCAAGACATAGATTTTACAGATTATGCATAATATGAATCTGAAGAAAAATAAATCAAAAGGTTTAGATTAATACCCACGTTTGGAGGCTCCACCAATGTTGTCTCTGAATGTGTTTGCTACCGATCCAAGTGTAGGATCGAACCAAGAAGTCCACACGAAGACAACCACCAAGAACCAAGGAGGGATTTGCTAGATCCTCCTNTATTTTGGGATTCCATTTAGGGTTGTTACCAGTCATATATTTGGGGTTTCCTTTGATCTCTACTCAACTTCAGCATTCTGATTGTAGGCCTTTGTTTGAGCGGATTTTGTCCTGGATCAGGTTATGGACTTCGACATCTTTGACCTATGTAGGGCGACTTCAGTTGATCAAGTCGATGCTTTTCTCCATTCATGTTTATTGGTCTTCCATGTTTCTTCTTTTGGCAGCTATTGATAGACGAATTGAGAGTATTTTGACATCTTTTCTTTGGAAGGGTACTTCTCTTTCCTCTTTGGGTGCCAAGGTTGCATGGTCTTCTGTTTGCTATCCGTTGAGAGAGGGTGGTTTAGGGATTAAGAGGATTCACGATTGGAATATGGTTGATATTCTTAAGCATGTCTAGGAACTACTTACTAATCGTTCTTCTATTTGGTTCTCTTGGGTTTGTTTGGTTTTGCTCCATGGACGGTCATTCTGGTAGATTCGAGTTACCTTTGGGGCTATATGATCCTGAAGGAAGATCCTACTTAGTAGGGATTGGTGTCAAGGTCTTATAGTGACATGTATCGGTGATGGCAGAGACACTTCTTTATGGTAGGATTATTGGTTGTCATGGGAGCCTTTATGTGGTTTGTTTCCTTTTAGGATTTTGACTTCTATGAGTTTGTCATGGGATGCTCGGGTTTAGAATATTATTCAAGATTGGTCGTGGGATTTTCCTTCGGGTATTGCTGATCTTCAGCATATCTGAGACTCTATTATAGTGCAACCTTCATTGGGTCTTCCTGATCATTTAGTGTGGAAGGGTCACTCGTCTAGCTGATTCTCTATTGATTCAGCTTGGAATGTGTTACGGGACAAATGGGATGTGAACTCAATTCATCATCTCTTATGGTTTCTGGGGCATGTTCCACACCACTCCATTTTATGGCTTGCTTCTCTTGGTCAGCTTTGCACCATGGATCAGCTCAACTCTCACGGTATCATTGCATCTTCCATGTGTGTTATATGTAGGTCTGCTACAAAGACTTATGATGATCTGTTTTTCAGTTGTGACTTCTCCAATTATGTTTGGCGGGAGGTCATTGCCCGAATGCTCTCTACATGGCCTCATTTCTCTTGGTTTCCTTTGCTCAGTAAGCTAGCTTGCATCTTAGGCGTAAAGGGGACTTCGGGCACCTCCTTTCGTAGTTAATCCTTTCAGCTACAGTTTATTTTCTATGATTTGAACGGAATAACCGTGTGTTACAGCAGCATTGCAGCTTTGCATGGATATTATATTGGCTATTCGTGATTTAGTTCAAGCCAAGATTTTGGGTTTAGCGTCTAAGTGTGAGATCTCAGCCCAGCTTCATTGCAATATGGCACTTGCCTGACTTGTTTTTTTGTGAGAAGCCTGCGTGCTCTTTTGTACCGTTTGTGGCATTAGTGGTTTTTTCCATGTTTTCTTGAGACTTTTTGTCTTTGCTTGGGGTATGCCCCCTCGTATNCCCCTACAAGATAATCAAAGAAGCAGGGAAGGGCGCCTACAAACTCCAGACCCCCGAGGGCAAAGACATCAACAACAGTTGGAATGCCGTTCACCTCAAACGTTACTACTCGTAGGTGAACCCTGTCCTTGTTAGGAATTTTGTTTTTTCATTTCTTCTCATTGTTAATAAAAAGGATGAGTGGGCCTATCCACCTCCTCTTAGACAGTTGGACTCATGGCCAGATATTTAATGAAGTATTATTCAATAGTTCTCATTTTCAAATCGACCCTGATCGACAAATTACTTACACCTTCAAATCAGCCCTGCCCGATGAACATACGGACACCTTCAAATCGGCCTCGTCCGATATACGTACGGACACCTTCAAATCGGCCATGCCCGATATACGTACGGACACCTTCAAATCGGCCCTGCCCGATATATGTACGGACACCTTCAAATCGCCTTGCCCGATATACGTACGGACACCTTCAAATCGGCCCTGCCCGATGAACGTACAGACACCTTCAAATCAGCCCTGCCCGATATACGTATGGACACCTTTAAATCGGTCATGCCCGATATATGTACGGACACCTTCAAATCGGCCCTGCCCGATGTACCTACGGACACCTTCAAATCGGCCCTGCCCGATGTATGTACGGACACCTTTAAATCGGCCCTACCCGATGAACGTACGGACACTTTCAAATCGGCCCTGCCCGATAAAACGGACGGACACCTTCAAGTCGACCCGGTCGATGAATTACTCACACACTCGAATCGACCCCGCTCGACTCTCGAGAACACCTTAAGATCAGCCCTGCCCAATCCAAGACTTGGCACCTTGGGACCGGCCCCATCCAACCCAAAAACTGAACTAAAGATGCACCGCCATTCATCCAGGGGACTACACCCTCGGTCGACCCGACAGAATGAATGATTCCTATACCATTGTCAAGCAAAGCACCAACCCAACCCAGCCCAACATAAGGCCTACATGCCTTAGCCATTAGGCCACGCTGAGGTAACACGCACAAAAATAAGGAAGAGGAATAAAAGAACAGTTCATTCATCCAAAGAGACAACACAAGAAACAAGAACAATCAAAGGTAATATATACGGCGTCAAACGCCCTAGTTCAGAATACAAAAAACGGCACAGACGCCAAACAAAAGGGCATCGCAGGCCCCAAAATACAAAAAAGGAAAAGGGGGAAAGCACTAAACATCCTCAGCACGAGCCTCATCCTCCTCCACCAAATCAGTCGCCACGCAAGCACCACTAGTGCTCGGCCCCACCGCTAGGTCGCTCGCGTCCCCAACACCCGGCTGACTAAGCTTAGGCGCCTGCTCCTCGTCCTGCCCTACCGAATGACTAGTTTCTTCTTCCAACAACTCTTGCATAAGCAGAATGTCTTCATCCGGATCCCAATGAGAGGTCCGCCATTCCTTAAACTCCAGCATGAGCTCGTCTCGGGCCTTAATGATGGCGTAATCAGCAATGGAGATGCATTGCTCCCTAAGGGACTCGACCTCCGCGATCCTCTCGGCTAACTCGCGCCGCAACCTCTCGACCTCGGCCTCACTATCCCTGAGGCGCTGCTGACTTTCTTGTTCAGCCTTCCGGGATGCTGCCTCCCTCTGCTGCAAACCAGCGTTGGCCTTTGATACATCCTGTATCCGCTTCTCCTGCGCCACGACAGACTTCCTAAGATGGAGACTGCTAGTGAGTACCTGCACAACAAAACTCAGCAATGAGAACAGAGTCGAAAACAAGAAAATGAA